AGTTAGTAGGACGTCACACACACACACACACACACACACACACACACACACACACACACACACACACACAATCAGAGCATTGTTTATGCTGGGTAATAAAGCGCCCAGAGAGAGGGGAAAGGAGCTGGGGACCAGGCAGCGGCAACTCGCATTCCCATTTCAATGTGTGCCCCAGGGGATTCCTAAGGCAGCAGCGTGGTGCGAGCGGCAAGGTAACTTCTGTCTGTGCCCATAAGCTGCATGAAGTGTTGACAACCGAAGCAGGATTTACATCCTGGCTGCCCTGAGGAGCAGCAAGGGAAAGGGCAGAGGGGGGAGGGTTTGAGGAGCTGCTGGGCTTATGGCTCGTTATTTTAGCCATGCGCCCCCCCTCCCCTGCCCCCACACACGCTTCCCTCGGGACGGTCTCCTTTTCCTCTCTGCCCCCACTGCCTGTCCCCGACTCGGTCCTGGCCCCGAGGCCGAGGAGCTGCTGACGGCTAGAGCCAGACGGGAGACAAGGAAAGGTCACCTGTAACCTCAGCCGCAAAAAGCTGGGTCCAGCGGGTGCTGAATGGAGCATTGACAGGAGTTTATATAACATTTAACAAAACCCACAGCCAGCCGGGGGGAGTGCAGGGACCTGGGGTGGGTACACACACAGCCGGTTCCAGGAAGAGATTCCATGCTGAGCGCTCAGACCCCACCAGTCTGCCCGCCGTGATGCGGCCAATTCAAGGGGAGGGCTCTGGCTCCCTCTGGGGAACGCAGAGTTGCAAACCCAGGGCCTTCTTGGGGTGCTTTATGGTGGGGAAAGGGGAACTAACTGTGTGAACATTTCGTGGGCGCCGCAGGGCAGGTGACTGGCTCGGCTTAGAGGTGTCAGCAACGGCAGCCTTTCCGAAGGGAACTCACTGGAAAATGAGCCAGCAGCTAAGAAAATGGGGGATCCCAAGGGGAAGGGTGTTGGGAGAAGGCACCTCAGGGGGTTGGAGTACCTTGAATAGGGTCAGTGAGATGTCCCACATGCTAAGAGGCACCCTGCTGAAAAAACACAGAGGGGAGGTGGGGTAGAGGCAGGCCTCGGGGTTCTGTTCTCAGCCTGAGGAGGGGAGTGATGTCCAGTGGTTAGAGCAGGGGGAGCTGGGAGTCAGGACTCCGGGGTTCTAGTCCTGGTTTGAGGACTGGAGTGATGCCTAGTGATCAGAGCAGGGAGGGGACTGGGATTCAGGGCTCCTGGGCTATATTCCTACTTCCCAGCCCTCCGGGTGCCTCCGTTAAACCCATTTTTCACATGAGGACAGCCCGGGCTTCTCTGCCCCACATGGAGGCGCCGAGGCTGTGACGTACTTGGCAGCACACAGTATTAAGCAGTTGCCCATTAAGAGCAGGGCTGCAGGAGGTTGTGCCCTTTATGAAATGCCTCAGCATTCCTCTCTGACCCCCAGGGCTTTGCTAGCAGAGAGGGATGTGTCCTGGCCTTTCCGAAGCCAACTCTGACCGTCCCTCCTCAAAGGGAAAGGCCGAAGTCCCCTGCCACAGTGCCTGCTCCCATCCTGCGTCTCTCGCCTTTTACTGCTACATTTTAATTGTCTCTCTTTAGAAACTTGGGCTCCACAGTCTCCTTTCCAGGTCACATAAACCCAGCACCCAGAGGCAAACATGGATCCATGCACAACATAGGGTCACTCCAGGGAGCCAGGGTAGGTCTATAACATGGTCGGAGGCCCGTCTTCTTGCCCTGAGCCCATGCC